TCATGTCTTTTGCCCATTTTTAAATGGGGTTTGATTTTCTTCTTGCTGATTTTGTTTGAGTTCTTTGTATTAATAGATTCTGGTTATTATCCCCTTTTCAGACATGTAGCTTGCAAATATTTTCTCCCATTTAGGTTGTCTATTTGCTCTGTTGATTATTTCCTTGGCTATGCAGCTTTTTAGTTTAATCAAGTCCCATTTATTTATTTTTGTTGTTGCTGTGATTGCCATTGGGGTCTTCTTCATAAATTCTTTGCCTAGGCTGATATCTAGAAGAGTTTTCCCAACATTTTCTTTAAGTTCTGGTTTCATGCCTTACATTTGAGTCTTTTGCCCATTTTGAATGAATTTTTGTGAGTGGAGAAAGATAATTGATCCTGTTTCATTCTTCTGCATGTGGCTATCCAATTGTCCCAGCACCATTTATGGATAGGGCTTCTTTTCCCCAGCGTATATTGTTATCTGCTTTGTCAAAGATCACTTGGCTATATGTGGATGGTTTTATGTCTTGGCTGACTTATAAAGTTCTCTGTGGTTTTCAGCCTTTCCTCATGTGACCCAATTTAAATTCTGAAGTGCTCTCCTCATGGGGAGAGCTCCCAGCTTCCTGATTAAGAATCTGGAATCTGTTTGGATGTTGTGGAAGAGACCAAAAAAAAAAAAAAAAAAAAAGGTCTGTAGCAAGTAAGGAGATGCGTTCAGGGGCTTAACAATGTTTGTTTTTAATTTTAAAATGTGAATCTTTATACTCTGATTTATTTAATGAATTTTAAGCATTATCAGAAGCACACAGATCCAAAGCCTGAGGAAGGCATGAAGGGGAGTAACAGGTAGGGAAAGGAAATGTGAACTGAAGACTTGAGTCACTGGGCCTGTACATTGGCTGTCAAAGGCCTGTGCATCTGTCATTACTCCTTGTGAGATGATGGGAAAGGCACAGGACATGCTGTGAACTAATAATAGTTGGTTGTTATTTTTCTTCTAGATTCTTTCCTTGAAGCTCTCCAACTCTTTAGTTATTTAGTGTCTTAGTGAAGGACAGTGAGGGAAAACTCGATCCCTTTGTCTTACTTTGGTTTTCATGGGAGGCTTTATTACAAACAAATGTTTATCATCCTAGCTTCCAGCCTCTCAACTTTCTACAGCACACTTCAAAAAAGTCAAGCAGCTATCACCCTTGGTAAGAAGCCCACTGTGTTATGAATTCAAGAGTGTTGCCCAGGGTGTGCACACTTCCCAAACAGAGATATAATCTTCCCATTTGGTTAGAAGATGACTAAAATGGGTCCAAAGTAAAGGTTTTCAAAGGAAGACTCGTTTGAGTCTATGTAAGGGGTACTTTCATGTCCTTTTCCTCTGACTTTACATACATGTTTATGGAAACCAGCTGGGGACTCTGCAGCTGTACTCTGGGCCACCCTGTCACCTCTGATGCATGCCTGCAGGAGTAGTAGAACCCCACTTTCCCTAGTCCCAGGGGAGTGTGGGTTCAGGAAATGAGCAGAGTGAACAGGCAGCAGCTGGTGGGAAAATGAGAATAGACCTCCAGGGGCTTTTTAAAAGGCCCTGGATTCAGCTTTGTCTCCTGTGCTCGCACAATGAAAAACAGGCTGGCTGCAGGGCTGGACAATGACTAGGTGAGGGGCCGCGCTTACGTTTTGCTGAGATCTTCTCCTTAGCCCGTGGCCCATTTCATGCTTTGCCCTTAGATTTCAATGCTGTTTCCAACCTTCAGAAATTAAAGCTTTGGCTTTTCAGTTACCCCATTTGTCTCCTGGCTGTTTTTGGCCTCTCTGCTCTTAAGTGGCTTTCTGTCCTAATAGTGCTTGATGTTGTTATTGACTTTTATAACATCTGTCCAATCAGCCAGTCATGGGATTAGGGGCTAGTTGTAGGGAATACATGGGCCAGTGTTTTTCCTGCTTGTTTATGTGCAGGCGTATGTCATATATATATATATATATATTTTTTTCTTTGAGAAAGCCTTGAAATGTCATATATATTTTTAAAGGAAATAATGCTGCTCATGCTAGGATTTGAGTCTTCTTCTTTATTGCCAGGTAAACTAAAGAAATGGATAGTGTTCTTTGTTTCTCAGCAATAAAGCTTTCTTAATGACAGTGGAAATGCATAGTGTATTTGGATGAACTACACTAACAAGGATCAGTATAGGTGGGATAACAAGTTACATTAGTCCTGTGATTATTTCATTAATGGCTCATGTGTACTTGAAAGCAGCAGAAGTACATTTACGGGAAAAATGAGAGTGTGATGTCTCTCTGTGTCTGTATTAGTTTCTTATGGCTACTGTAGCAAAGTACCACAAACTTGGTGACTTGAAACAATAGAAATTTATTCTCTTGCAGTTCTGGGGGCCAAGAGTCCGAAAGGAGTCTTAATGGTTAAAATCAAGGTGCCAGCGGGACAGCGGTTCCTCTGGGGACTCCAGAGGGTATTCCGTTTCCTTGCCATTTCCAGCCTCTACTGCTGCATTCCTTGGCTCACAGCTGCTTCCTCCGTCTTCAAAGCCAAGGGCATAGCATCTTTTCTGTGCTTCTGCCTCAAATCTCCCTTTTCTTCCTTTTTATGAGCATATGTGTGATCGCATTTACGATCTACTTAGATAATCCAGGATAGTCCTCCCATATCAAAAAATTTAACTTAATCACATCTTAAAAGGCTGTGCCATATAAGGTGATGTTCACAGGTTTCAGAGATTAGAATGTTGACATCTTGTGGTGGGGCTTTATTCAGTCTACCATAGTGACTATGGGTGTATGTGTCTGTCTGTCTGATTAAAATTCCCTGGCTCTGTCCCCTGAGCCAACCTACAACTAGCTACACCCCAGTAGCAATGAGCATATCTAACGTTCAGGTGTCGGATCTAAATAATATACTTCACTGAAAGGAACTAGTTTTGTTTTGTTCTGATTGCCTCTTTTCTTCCAACTGTGAGATGGGGGCGATCGTAGAGCCCACCTCCTAGGATTATTCTAAATGTCAAATGAGATAATCTATGTATTCCATTATAACAGTGTCTGAACAGAGTAGGTGATTAATGTTATCCATTATAATTATCCTTGATTGCTCTTTCCCTCTATCTTTAAATCCAGTTTATCAGAAAATTATGTAGAGTCTCCCTACACAATATATTTTTGATTCATCCACTTTCACATATTTCCATTGCCATCACCCTCATCTCAGCTGTCACAGTCTCATCTGGACTCCTCACTGGTGTCTTTGCTCCCTCCTGTCTCACTCCATTCCATTTTCCATATAACAACCATATGATCTTTTAAAAGTGTAAATGAATCACTGTATCACATAAAACCCTTCCATGGCTTCCCATCAAACTGATCAAAATGCTGTCTCCTTTCCTTGAGCTACACATGCTATGTATTTGGCCCTCCCTCCTCCCTGCAACTCTCTGACTTGCCAGTTCACCCACTCTTTTGTGGCTGCCTTGGCCTTTTCTCAGTTATCTGAGCAGGCTGGTCCTTCCACGCCTGAAGGCCGTGCATACAGCCCTCCCTCTGCTTGATTGGATATCACTGTCCTTTCACAACCTCTCATCCCTGCAGAGTCCTCAGAGAGCCTTCCCTATACCCATCCCACCTAAATTAGGGCACCAAATGTAGGAGCCCCTGGGCTAAGTTCCTCTTTACCAGCCTGAAGCTTCCCAAATACATCAAAAAATTAGCATTTCCTCTCTATTGGGGAAACGGATAATTAACAACCTGTGATTATCAAGCACATAACACCAGGAGGATTATACTCCTTTTTCAGAAAGATAAATTTTATACCTTGTGAACATTAAGTGATTGTAGAGCTATTTTAAGAAATTGCTATCTAAAAATTGTGCAAGCTAGCTCTTTGATGTTGGCATTGAAGAACAAAGGAGGGCCCGCCCACTGAACCTGTCTATGGTGGGGTGATGGAGTTACGATTGGGTCTTCTCACTACTGCCAATCATTTATGCTCCAAAGGATATTCTAGAATTTATAAAAGTTTCCTCTTCGAACTACTATTTACTTGGTTGCTGATAAAACCTTTCACGCTTCTCTCCCCCCAAGTTAATGGTCAGTCACTGTTCAGACATGAGAAAAAAAGATGTCTCATAATCAGTGGGTAGAGACCAGTGTGAGTAATGTCTGGATCCTGGTTAATGTTTGAGTTTAACGTAAAGAGGCAGAAGAAGGACTCCCTGACTGGTCTAAGTCAAATTTCTTTGTGTTTTGAAATTTCTTCCCTGTTACTTATTTTTAATTAGTCCTAGGCCAGAAAAGAGGCACTGCTGATTTTTGACAATTGCCTCTAGAAGCCAGAAAGGAGATCTTAGAAATTCAGTGTCATCATGTGTACCACTTTTACTGTCACCTTTGTAGTTTTTCTTTCAAATAAGGAACTTTTCAGAATTACAAAGGACACTAGGACACAGAAGCTTAAATTTAGGATAATCAGTATAAATGGGATACCTGGCAGTTCTGTTCCATGCCCTGTTTGGCTGAATGGTGTTCCTGATTATGTAAAAATGTGATCCCTTCTGGGGAAAGATTAATGTTTTTTGTTGGCATCTTCTAACAGAACCTACACAAAGAAATAATCTTGTTATGTACTATGGGTAATGATAATCACTTGGAGAATGATGCATTTAAAAATATTAAATAGTTTTCTAATTGCAGAAAAGTAACATAAACTTAATTTTTAAAATATCCACCATAATTCTGCCTCCAAGTCAAGCTAAGCTTTTTTTTCTGATTTTCCTATAAATGTTTATACATATGTATATATTTTTCTGTAGTTGTAATCATGCAGTGATAATTTTATATTCTGATCGTTTCCATGTTATATTTTTCATGTTTCATTTTGAATAGTTATATAGCATCCTATCAAGTACTTATGTCATAATTGCTTAACCATTCCCCTGTTGTGTAATTTGTTTTATGATGTATTTTTATGATGTATTTTAGTGATGTCTTTGTTTTGTTCTAATTTTGCAGGCAGAGACATTTGTTTGGGTTAATAATGCATCTGCACATTCCCAGAGTGTTGCCAAGGCCAAATACGAATTTTTATTTGGCAGACCCGAAGAGAAAACTCCAGATACTAGTAAGTGTTTCCTGACTCCCCTCCTTCAGGTAAAAGATGTGAAGTGCTGTGATTTCTGAGCACTTTTTCTCCACCTGCTTGACTTCCTGCTTACCTTTGTGAAACCTGTTTGCTCTAATTATTCATCAAAACAATCTTTCCAAGATATAGAATTCAGAAATACTGGATATAGGCTTTGCTGCCTGTTCTTGGTAATTTCAAGTCATGTTCTTAGTTTAAGGAATTCTCAGGTTCTGATATATGAAATTGCAAGAATTAACTATTTCTCATAAAAGTTTTCTATGTTTACCATTGCTGCATATATTGACCAATTTATTTTTGGTGCTCACTTTTAGCTACCAACATATATTATTAGGAAACATTTCCACAATGATTTTCAGACACTGTATTCTTGACTTTGGGGATTATTAAACCTCTGGTTTATTTCTAATGCCTTTTAATATTGGTCTAATCTAGTTATCAAATTCTAGTGTTCTGGAATTAGAATCAAAACCCTTCAATTTGAAACAGATAAATTTAGAACAGATAGAATGATTATTAGTACTAATAACAGTAATAATATTAACTAACTTACTAGATTATTTACTGTGCCAGGACTATGCTAAATGCTTTGCAGATAGTATTTCATTTAATCCTCACAATAACCCTATAAATTGGTACTATTATCCACACTTTCCAGATGAGGAATATGAAGTAATCTCATCTCACAGCAAAGCCAGGACTTAAACCCAAGTCTGTCTTAATAGCAAAGCTTATGCTCTCAGCCTATTGGGACAATACATTTTTGAAGGCATTTTCCTGTAAGGAGACACAAGATCAAAATACAAATAGCTTTATAGAGTTTCAGAACATTTAACTGTATCTGTGGAAGACCAATGATAAAGGGGACATTAAGATATCTTAGGAGTTAGGTAGGAAAGAGCTATTGCGTGTGGCTTGCTGAATTTGAATCCTGGCCTTGGAACTTATGAGCTGCGTGACCCTGCATAAGTTATCCAACCTATTTATGCCTGTTTTCTCATCTGTAAAATGGGATCGTAGTGCCTTATGTCTCAGAATGCTTTTGAGGATTAATAAGTTGGCATATGTAAAGATCTTAGTCATGCTTGGTAGATAATAGTGCTATAAAAGTGTTTGCTGCTATTATTTGTGATGATGATGGTGATTGGTGTCATCATCACCATATTCCTGACCTTTGAAGGTGACTTTCCTCAACTCTATGGTTATCTGACACTGATCTGTTTTGGGAGGAAAACGACCCTGAACTAATATAGCTGTTGTTCATTTGAAAAAGTCAAATACTAACTATATGTTTTTGACTTATATGTTAGATGGGAATATATAATAACTCCACAGTATTTGGGGATACCAAAAAAAACAATGTATACACTGCCATGTAATAATTTCTTTTAGCTTAAAAATGTTTATTGGATATATCAATAGTTGGAGATTCTTAGATGCATTATAAAACAGCCAAATTATTAAAAAGTCATTTGCCTTTTATCACAGTGCCCCATTTTAGAGGGGAATATGTTTCATAATATATTTCTAATACTTACCATTTAGTATAGTCATTTACACCACTTATCATGTATCATAAATACCTAAATACTCTGTACTTGAGGCTTGAGGTACCTAATCATGAAGTTCCTGCCTCCCAAACAGGGGGTACTGATTATAGTTGCCCTAAGACTGCTTACAACTCTTTAGCATAGCCTTAACTTTGAATGCTACATTGTGATTTTTTGCTGATTAAGCGTTTTTTATTTCCATAAAACTAATTTTTACTTTGCTATGTAGAGATAATATCAAATTGCTACATAAGTCTAGTCCTTTATTGGTAGGTGAATTTGGTTCTTCTTTACTCATGTCATGGGTGTTGAATACTTTTCCCTGTATTATCAGCTCAGATATATTAAATAGTATACTTGAGCAAACCAAAATGACTTTTTAAACCTTCTGTTTCTTATTTGCCTTGGTGAAATGGTTGGTGGTATTTGTTTCTGGTATGATGTTATTTTGCAGGTGTTAAAGTGTGCATGCATTTATTGAACAAGTATATTTAATGAGCACTTTTTATGTGCGGCCACTTGTATTGGGCACTGAGATGGCACAAAGAAGTAGGTGACATGGTTCTTGACTGTTGCTTATTCTTTGGTCAAGGAGAAACAGCGTGTCTCCAAATGACTAGCATGTATGGGGCAATGATCACTTTTAGCTGGGCTGGTGAAGGACTTTGTGGAAGAGGTAGAAGTTGAACTTGGTCTTAAAGGATGGCTAGAATTCTGGTTAATAGAGTTTTGGGGGAGAGCATTTGAAACTGAGGGAATGATATGAGCAAGGGTGTAGTGGCAGAAAATGTGAATTCTTTGAGGAACTGGGAGGATACCAGCCCAGTTATTTTGTAGACATAATCAGCGAGAGCTAAGTTCAGAGATTACTATTTAGAAAGAGGCTATATCATGAAGGCCTTCTAAGGCAGGGTTGAGGGTTTCCATGTTATCCCGGTGAAGGTAGAGACGAATGACTGAAGTACTATTTTAAATAGACAAATCAAGAGGGATTGACGTGGAAGTTGCAGGAGTAATGGAACCCATTGCTTCCTGCAGGAAGAGTGTTAAAATGCATGTTTATATTGACTTTTGGAAGGTACCCTTTGTATCTTCACTAAGAAATGATGTACATTTTCATTATTTCAAAAGTGTTCTTGAAGTTCCTTTATGTAAAACATTCATCTGACATCAAATACGCTGCCTATACTCGGAAGGGAGAACTCAAGACGGTCGTAGGGAAAGATAGTGGAGAGAATAGGACAGTTTTTCTATTTGAATTTGATCGATAGACATACCTCTTCCAATATAGATTTTTAAAAAGTGGGTTAAATAAGTACCAGAAGCTGTCAACAGATTGTTTACTGTTTCTCTGTTAGGTGTTAGTCTGTTCTGCAACTACCATACTCTTTCTTAATATAGTGACTTAAAATAATTGTTACAGAAATAGTCCATTGGAAGAATTGAAAGGCTAAAAGTGGCTTTTGAATGTGTCCCCAGAAATGCACAGGTGGGAGCACTTCAGGTATAGCAGCCTAGTAATGGTATGGCCAGGTCAGGCAAGGTCACTTAATTTATGATCCTCAGTTAGATCCAAGGAAAGTGTCACTGCTATAGGGAGAAATGGCTTAGATTTTGCCTCCTAGCGGGGATTTAACATGGATTGTCAGTGGGAGCTTCAAAGGAAGACAATTAAGATTATTTGCCAATCTTAGTTACTTAGTACTGGGATTTCGAATCAGTGACAAGAGCTCAGGGTACTGGCAGGGTATGGGAGACCATGTGGTCAGAGGGAAGAACCCTTAGGCTGGGAACTAAGATCTGGAATTCTCATGATCTGTTCATCACTATGGTGAAAGGAAAGAGGTGACCATGCTTGTCTGATTTCTCTGTTCCTTCCTCCTTTCTGGGAGCTGTCCCAGCTTTCAGGAGCTTTTCAAGGGCAAGAGCAGGAGTTGGTAATTGTTAAGAGGCTCTGGGCTAGAGGGGTATGTGTGGCATCAGTTGTGCTGTGACTTTAGTGAGGAGGAAGCAAGTCCCCAAAGGTAGGTGACTAATCTGGGGCTAACCAGGCCTACAGTCATTCGGAGGGCAGGTGGCAGTGTCCCCTGGATGTCCCACTCACCACACCATACCTCTTTGTGTTGCTATGCTTAGATGATCGATATGGCTTTTCCAAACTAGTCTGATGGAGTACAGTGTGGCAGGAGTGACATTCTTTGAAGAATTCGTAGCAGCACTAAATGGCCAGTGCCAGCCGGTCAATCTCTCTCTCTTTTTAAGAAAGAAATGTTGTGGAAGTCTTTGAAGAAGATGACTTTGTTCTCAAACTTCTAGGGAAAACAAGTGACCTGTGGAAGTGTGTGGGAAAGTGAAAGGGCCTACAGGATGCTAAGGCGGCTAGACAACATCTTATATTATCTCTTGGCAGTTTGGAAAATCTCACTCCTACATTCTCTATTGATTTATAAACTTTTTGAGATAAGTAGGTGAGGAAAATGAGCTTCAGAGATATTAAAGAACATGCCCAAGGGCACATAGTTTAGATGCTTTAGAATCTGGTTAAAAATCCAGTCTCTCTAGTTTTTAGGAAAAGAGTCCAGTCTCAGCTTAATGCAGTCCTCTTCTTACAGCTTGCCAGTAATTGGGGGTTATTTGATGTAATGAAGTAGAAAGATGCCCTCAGGGGTTACTGAGTTGTTTGGGAAATTGTAGAACTTCATAAACGGTCCTAAACTTGCCTTTTGGAGTTTGTGTGTGTTTTTGAAACTTGTAGACTGTCAGTAATTACTCCTCTCTGCTGTCTGTGGTCTGGATGAGGCAGCCTCTGATCTTCCCAGTTTACTGAATGCAAAGTGCTAGTGGTGGCAGCAGAGCATACCCGGGATCCATGTACTGTGGATGCCTGTGGACAAATTACTCAATTCCCTCAGTTTCTTCATCTATAAAATAGGAATAATGGTAGTATCCTCTTCATAGAGTTGTAGTGGAGGTCAAATAATATTGTGAGTACACAACTCAGTGCTTGGCACATAGTACCCCATCAGTGTTTAGTTGTTAGAAAATCAGCTTATATAATCAAACTAGCAGAATATTTATGTTGGAAGAAATATTAGAAATACTTTGCATTTTATGCATGAGGAAACTGAAGACTTAAGAGAATGAATTAACTTGCCCAAACTCTTTGGCAGGTTTGAGACCATCGTCTAGGTTTCTTGGTTCTGAATCACGTGTTTGATATTTTATCCTGCCTGCTTCCATAGAAAAACAGACTCTTGGATTAGAAAGACTTAAAAGTCATCTGATCTTACCCCCTTGAGATACTTGCTATAAATGGCTGTGTTGTTAGACTAGCATCTAAGATCAGAGTAAGTAGGTTCTGAGGGAGGCCTTCAGGGACTCTACTGTTGAGTAAGATGCCTGATTACTGCAGGAAGAAGGAAGAGAACT